TTGATTACTGTAATACGCTTCTCAGTGGTCTTAAGTGTTCCTAACTTGTCCCATTACAGTCTATAATGAATGCGGCAGCGAGGCTCATCTTCCTGTCTGCCCTCACCTCCCACGCCTCCCCTCTCTGTCATTCCCTATATTGACTTTCCGTAAGATACAGGACTCAATTCAAGATCCTGATACTTGCTTACAAATCTCTACACAATGCTGCTCCAAATAATTTATCCTCACTAATGCACAAATATGTCCTGTCTAGGCCCCTACGCTCTGCTGGAGACCTGCGTCTAACCTCTGTACATACTACTACCTCTGATTCTCACCTTCTCTAGGGCTGCACCATTTCTATGGAGCTCCTTTGCCTTCTCTGTTGGACTATCACCCAGTCTCCACTCCTTTAAAAAATCTTTTAACACCCCACATGCTAGAGACTACCAAGCTGCTGATGCACACATGGGACACATATAGGGCACACATTAGCGTAAATTCTCGCATGTCTGTTTTATTCTTTTAAATCATGTAAGATAGAGCAATATAAGGATTCTATGGAATCCCTTATCTTCCAATATTTCAGGCAGTGTTTAAAATATACGCATAAGAACAGAAATACAAAGTTTGCCATAGGCAGTATATGTGACAAACGTGTTAGAGATACATCTGCCCAGAAAACATCATCAGGATGTTAAACTAATGTCTGTTGGTGGGCCTAATTTCCATACAATATCATAATAAAACTGGTGGTTTCATTTATTGCTCCACACATTATCTGTTTGTTTTCTACAGCATTGCAGTTCTATTGTTAAAACTACAATATAGCACATTGCTGATTGTCATTGCACTCTGTTTAAAATCATATAGTGTGTCGTTGACTCACACATCTCTCCTCCCCACCTGCAAGAATTCATCCAGATTATTGTGAGTTATAGTATATGAATTATTGTACATAAAGTGAAAATGGAAATGATTTCCTGAATCTTAGTAGAGCAATGTGCTGCTCTGCCATGAGAAGACCACTACTAGAGTAGGTTAGTGGAGATTAAAGGTTGTGGCTTTCCTTTAGGGGTTAAACTGTTAATGGGTCTAGCACCCATCAGCTCCGCACCTTCACTTTCGTTTTAGTCTTTTTGTCAACCAGGAAGCCCTTGCCTGGGCCTTGCTTATAAGCTGAGAAATGTTAACTATCAGGCTATCAGTAGCTCCCATTTCAGAAGTGGTTAATCATGTGGTAGTTCATCTTGCTAGCCAGTCACCACAATACAATTTAATCGAAAAAGCCTATCTGGGTCCATATGACTCACATATTAGTATAGGGAAGCAATAATACCTCCCTTATGTCCCTGTCCACAATGCCACAGGTGGGGGTCTGTAAAATACCAATAGTAAACTGGAACATATCTCCCCCATGCTCCTTTATATATCAGGTGGGTTCTTAAAATTAAATAATGGGGGCAGATCACTGTGCTAGCCATGTACCCATCCATGGCCATTATGTGCACCCCACCCTTAGTAACCCAAAACTACAGGTAAACTTGTGCCTGTAGTGGAGCGCTAAAGGGCAAGAATAAGGGGAATGATTTACCCCCGTTTATGACAAGTGTATACAGTACAAAATGCAATGCATGAAAAAAAAGAGAGAATACAAATATAGTGCAGATGGTAACTGTGACAAACTCCCCTTTTTCAGTGAGTTTGCCACAAGTTCCTGGAGGAGCCTGCTTGCCAGCCTCCTGCCCACAGACTATGGACCCTGTGAAATATAATGTAAAAGTCTCTGTTCGTGCAATTGGGATTATATGGTTCAGTTACCGAACAACCGCATGAATCGGAGACCACCCTGGAGCTTGTTAACACCTATTAACAACTTGGAACGTTTCTCACCGCAGTGTTCTAGTTGTTCATCTAGGTGGCCGCAATTCCTATGGACAATCATGAGGTGGCGGCCATCTTGTTCGCATGAATGCAGGCAGCGGTGTTTGGGCATGAGTCTCATGGAACTAAAATTGGACACAGAAACTCCTGAACACCGCTGGGCTTCCATCATTGCCTGCATTCGGTTCTATACAACTTAGAAGGGCACTGTTTGGTGAAATCATTTGTCTGGATGAGGGGAACAAGCTCCATGGTACGACTATTGACTCTGTTCAGAAGTTTGTTCATTTTTAAACTACTGAACTAGATCAACAGCAAGCCCTGATTCTCTTGAACTGTTTTGGGGATTGGGACAATGCCTATGGTCGGTCAAACAATTGACTTCCAGGAAATTTCAGAACTTCCAGAACTGATCTGGGTGATTTTTGGATATGTTGGTCACCCAGATCAGGGCTATCAGGGGATGTACCTTTTGTGGGGTTCTATGTAATTTTAAGATATTTAGTTTTTTTTTAATAAAAATGTGTTTTTTGTGTTTGGAGATAATTGAGTTTAGTATAAGTGCTTGACTCCCAATTATCTCCCAGATACAGAGGAGGGATTAACCTATTATGTGTGGGAGTGTCCTGGATCTGAGAGCCAATGTGATTCTGTAATTGTTTAGACTGTGGTTTACTCTCAGGTCCAGTGGGACCTGCACATAAGGCCAGTTGTGGCTGCCATTAAAATAATTCAAGATTGCACTCCAAAACTGTGTGTCATCCTGTTATTGTAGGGAAGGAGGATTTAACCCCTGTGTCTGCTGTTCCAGCTTGCAGGGGATTCAAGGGGAAAGTCCTTGTAAGGACTAGATCTCCCAGGAGTGTCTTCCAGTGCCTGGGGGTGTCTAGAGCGAATTCCTCATTCGGCTCCAGGAGGTAGTGGTTACAGGACCCAAGTCAAGCCATGGCGACTGTGGGCAGAAGTTCTGTGGTTTGTCCCCTGTTCCAGGTAGGAAGCGGTCCTTTCGACGAGGTACCCAGTAGGGGTACAGGGAGCTCAGTTACAGTAACAATATCTCAATAATATCTATATATACCTATATATCTTAAAACCGGGACCTTTGGCTCTAGATAAGGTGAGCTCAATATCTATCTCACATTTGTCACTGATTTGATTGACAATACTACACCATATTGGTCTTTCTCTCTCTTTATTGGAGGTTATATCTCTATGAAGAAGTGGTGTGATGCTGCCCTAAGAGCATAAAAGCCCGATATACGGAGCCAATACATATAGGCTCTGCTACATGTGAATGGTCTGATTTTATACAATTTAATTATTGGGATATTGTTACCATATGCACTATATTTGTATTCTTTCTTTTGTTTTTCATGCATTTCATTTTGTATGGTATATACCTGTTATAAATGGTGGTAAGTCATTCCCCTTATTCTTGCGCTTTAGTGCTCCACTACAGGTACAAATGTATCTTGTACCACTAGAAGGTGTATATATTTTTGTGCCACATGTAATACACTCCCCCAACTAAAACACTGCCCCCCATCTAATACACTGCCCACATCTAATACACGGCCCCCCATCTAATACACTGCACCCATATAATACACTGCCCAATCTAAAACACTGCTCCCCAACTAATACACTGCCCAATCTAACCACACTGCCCCCATCTAATATACTGCAATCAACTAATACACTGGACCCACCTAACACACTGCCCTCATCTAATACACTGCCCATCTAACACACTGCCCCCATATATAATATACTGCTCCCCATCTAGTACACTGCCCCCATCTAATATACTGCTCCTTATCTAATACACTACAGGATAGAAGCGAGGGCAGATAACAGGAAAGTCCTAATTATATTACAGTACCTAAACACCCCACATGTTTAGTCCAATGATGCATAGTCATCTGCAGAATTCAAAGGTGTGGGATGCCAAAGTTATCCAAACCTTTACTAGCTATTACCACTATTTAACAGTGTCATTTAATCATAATGAAGATTTATGGTGGGTGAAACCTTAAATTAACTAATCTAAACAGTGAGCTTCAAAATACCTAAAACAGCAACAGGAGCACCTTAATAGGGTACTTTAATAATAATTCAATTCATTATAACTTAATAAGACCTCCTATTTCACTAGAATTCTCTCTTATCCATCATTTTGTACAAGAAATGCAACGTCACACTGAGCACATGAAAAAGAAATATTGATGTGGGATCAGACGATTGTAGGTTTGGTTAAAAATCCTCCAATCACTGTAGTGGCTAAAAAGGCTCAATTGACATAAGAGCTCTAAACAATTCCTTGCATTCCAGTTAATAGCATTGAGTTATATATTGATATACTTTGGGATGCATTACATGTTCGTAGCATTAACAACAAGTACATTTATATGCATGCGTGTGTGTGTATGTATATATGTGTGTACATCTGTGTGTATATATGTGTGTACTTGTGTGTATGTGCATGTACATAAAATAAAATATAGACTCGCTGCCTCTTCTTACAAGATTTACCGTGTTAAGTGATGTGTGATTTTGACAATTATTCATTTATTTAGTGTTGACAGCCTGTGATTTAGACAGTATTTCATTTATTTAATTGCAGCTATTTATGTATATTATATATTCTGTAGGGGGGTTAATTGCCTGCATGCTAAGATATAACATGCATTGGATGCATCACTGGTGCTCCCCCCCCCCTTATCCAAGCAGCCCCCCCATGAAGTGACATGCATACATCTGACAATGTTGAGTGTTGATCTGTGGATTTGGCCAGCCATCCAGTGTGTGCACAAGCTTAGGTTTCTATTATTACACAATGGATTATGAGGGCAAAGCTTTGCTACAGACTTACAGAGCCAATCTGCTTTAACCCAAGTCTCTCCTCCTACTTCACATCTAGTTTGCATTCTGTGTTTATTTATTGTAATTCCTTGTAGATAACTATATGCACTTTCATGCCTGGCTACTACAGATTTGCAGCAGGCAACCTTGCTTTGAATTATCACAAGACAAGTAGGAAAACTCCCCTGCCTGCCTGCCTGCCTGCCTGTCTGTATTATTTTTTTTCAATCTTTTTTTTTCTCTCTCCAAGCTGTGGAGGATTGTGCCATCTACAGAATCTGTGGGTTCAGTGAGATTTCTTTTCCTTGTCTCTGGTTCTCTGTCTGTGTGTTTCTCTCAGCTGCCTGACATGAACTTGAAGATCTGTCTCTCCAAAATGTGTGTTCTATTTGGGGATTGTATCACATCTCCATCCTTGCAATATGCAAAGGCTTCTTGCCTCTGAAAACCTGCTGGCTGAAAGGAAAAGGAGGAATATTCAGCACTGCAAGTCCTGAGAGAAGGGGAATGTGTGGATGGTCTTTTGGATACAGTGTATTGTGCAAGGAGAGATCACTGTGCAGAGGGTTTGCAATGTCTCTGTGAATTTGCTATTTGGTGATGAAGATTAGATTGCATTTCTCCATCTCAAAAGGCTGTGTTGATTGTGGATTCATGGTATTGGGGAAGCTGTTCAAATGCCTGGGAGATTCTTTTTGCACAAACAAGGATAACTGCTACTTGTGAGAGGTAAGAGCATATTCCTTTTCCTGCTGTACCCTTAGATGTACAGAGCAATGGAAAGATTGCATAACTTTGAATTCCCAATGTAAATGCACAGAGGATTGCTTAAACTTTACAAGCCATTGCTTAATCCCTTGTTTGTAAAATATTATAAAAGCTGCATTTATGCCAATGGTGCTTCACTGTCATAGATCGTTATTTAAAGCTAATTAAAGCTGGTAGTTAAACTGGATTGATCTCTGCTCGGTTCTGTGCCTGGAAAATCAGCAAGAAGTTTGCTGGACAGCTCTGGGAATGGGTTTTCTGAATATTACCAGGAGGGTGCTGGGGGCAGACTGGCAGCTGTCCTAATAGAAAATGACAGAAAATGTGGGTGTAATTGGCATAGGGGGTGCTGACATATGCCAGAGAGATGTACAAAATGCTACAAGAGGGTGACATGTATTTACAAGTTCTAGGTAAAATAATGATTAAATACAAGGACCTATATATATATTTATATGGTTTATATAGCTAAAATGGGAGAGAGAGAGACAGGGGGAGAGAGTGAGAGCAGATAGGAGAGAATAAGAGAGACATTGTATAGAGAGAGACACACACACACACTTACATATTCACATATGCACATGACATTTGAATGTATAACTTTATACTTAATGCATTTATTGATCTGCCTGAAGCTCCAAACACAGGGATTGTGGTTCCCCAGTAGGATGCACAGACCAGCTGTAATCCTGCAGGGGTTTTCTGGTCAATTGTGTTTAGTGTGAAAAGCAATATGACTGCACTCCACCTGTGTGTTAGCCCTCAGTACTGCAAACAGCCAGGTTATGGGGCTGGGTAAGGAGTCATTTCACAGGCAAAAAGAAATGGCACTTTAAGTATAAATAAAAATGGAACAAGGTAACTGTGAGCAATGCAGTAAGGAGAGAGGTTAAACTGCAAACATGGTGAAGGTTTGATCAGAATACCCAGACACAGATGTGTGGCTCACAGAATAGTGCTACAGTTATGGTTTTAGTTAGATAACTTGAGCTGCTGGAAATACTGGGGCACACAGATGGGGAGTCATTTCTCCCAATACACTGACTGCAATAATCTGAGAGTAACCCTTTCTGACAGCTGAGGGTGATTGCTTTCAGTATGTGTGTAGAGGAATGCAAGGAAAGAACAGAGCACAGAATCATTTAATGTAAAGAGGCAAGCATTAACTCTCCAGCTGTTCAGGACTAGTCGTCACAGCAGTCTTGGGTGGATGGCTGAGATTGCTCGCATTTCAATCCTTCACAATCTGAACTATCTGGTAAATAAAATAATCCTGTTTTTAATCAATATTAGTAAGAGTAGGCTCTCAGGTGCAGAGGGAGTGGTTGTTGCCCCTTCCGTTGGTCTAAAACTGCCATTGCTTTGAATCCTTGCACCCTCTTTATGCAGATATGATAATGTAAAGTAAAAACTAGCACACTCCCAATCACTGCACAGGGATAGGGTAACTAATTGTGTGGCACACGCTGTGCCAGTGGCCATGCAAGATGTGCTTGCCATCGTTCAGTTTTGCAGCCCTGCGTTTAACCCTTGCCGTGTGGCATTTGTTCTTATTTCTAGCATTTAAAGGATTTAACAAAAATATAATGCGATATTTTGAAATGTGATCTTTTTTCTTTCTTTTTTTTTAACCGATGCCTCTGTGTCCATTTTTTCTACATTATATTTATGTTTTCTCTCCCGTAGCTGGAATATGGAGTTGCCAGGGTACAGAATGTAGGGTAATGCCAACTTAAAAGCCAAATCCCCTTGTTTACAAACAGAATCCTATATTGTTTTTATTACTGAGCAATGCTTTGAATGCACGCTGGACTTATCTCAGGTCTCTGCCTATGCTGGTACAGCTCCGGGTCAGCCTGTATACAAAACATCCTTTGCACTATAATTCCAGTGTGAACTTGTGTTATTTGTGTTAGTTTATTTATCTCGATATCATCTTCATTTTTCATATTGGTTAATTTTATAGTATATTTAGTGTTTGTATCATAAGGGAACACACATATTTGATTGTTACCAGAATTTATTTATTCTTTTTATAAAACTAAGAGAGAAACTGTACCTTTTTAGCAATGCAACATTAAAAAGGCTGGGCATAGCTACCTAGTTGTGTCGCACACAAGCTCGGTTTGAGCATATTGTAGGATCACGTCTTCCTGTTAACTGATTGATCGCTCTGGAGGGTCGGATGTCCTTGATGAAGTGAAAGTTTTAATATAAGTGAATGTTTCTCCATCTATTGACCTGATTTTGCCATGAGCATTTTGACACTTAGACAATCCCCTGGGGGATATTCTTCAATAATAAATAACCACAATATGATGTGTTGGTTTTATTTTCAGTTATATTAATTGCATTTTCATCCTGAATACATTAGCATAAATTTGTTGATGGCAATAAATGTAGAGAATGTTTTTGAATGGAAAATAACTTTTACTAATTGTGACTATAACCAATTATACGTATACCTGCCCATATTTTGCAAGGGATGGAGGTGTGGGATGCTATTTCAGAACTGCTGGATGGCTTGGAATTATGGGGATTGTAGTGCAACCACAGTTGGAGTGCTCACATTAGATTTCACTGTTTTTACAATAAAATGACTACTGTTATAGTTAAAGAAAAAAATTAAATGAAAACAAAAAACAGTATGCTATTTCATCTTCTCTGGACCACTTGCTCCAATGTTCCTAATACAATTGTCTCTGTATGATTCAACACACAGCATGACTGTAGACATGCAGCCGGAACGGATTTCAAAGGGTGTGTTTAGAAATGACAAATGAGCCTGTTGTTTTATTCTATGCCTTTAAAATCTCCTTGTCCAAACTAGACTGGTGCAGAAATCATTTTCCTGCAAGATCCTCATTTACTGCAAAGACTCAGATAATCTGGCATTCGTTGTAACATACATAATGTTTACACCCTGCCTCTATTCTGTGACTCCCTCTAGTGAAATTTTCAAACCACAAGTGCTGTCATTGTACAAGACTAGAAGCAATGCATCTGCAATTCTGGGGACACACAGCATCAGCTAGATTTTATAATGCATTACAACAAAAGGTTAAGAAATAAAACAACCTCGTAGCTCCTGGACACTTAAATCTTATTACATTATTCTGCCTTTATTGGACATTTACAAATTCCAGAGTTTTATTTTGCATTTGCCTATACTGTGTGATAATTGTGTTTTATTTTCCTAATCCTAAATGTTGTCTATAAAGTTTTGATTATCACAATTAGCACATAATTAAATTACATTTCTACGCTAAATTTAAATTACATTTTATAGTCAAAGGATACAATGTCTCTGAAAATAGAAAAGATTATGTTTGCATTTACCAGTGCTTTCATGCTTTTTTATGTATACGCGATAAACAAAATGCATCTTTTTGAAAACAGATATTTTTACTATTTTTATGCCAAAACAGGTGAAATATTAATTTAGACTTTTTGTATGGTCAGTGATTTTAGAGGAAAAGAGGTCATAGCAATAGACCTCCTGTCTATCTTTACTTTGAAGTTAGAAGATAGAATTTATTTATTTGCTTCCTAGTAAATTCTGATCCGATAATATATTTTTATTAAATACTACAATAAAACCAGATTGAGGCTATAGGCACATAACTCCCAGAGCTGCGATAAGACTGGTGCATTAGAGTATAGTAGAGTTTATATTGCACGATGTCCCATGCAATATGGGTTTTTAAAAAAGTCCTGCACATTATATGTACCCCAGGTCTAGTATCTATGTTGGTAAAGTAAAAGGTACACCCTACATACCATCACACATTATTTACATTTTTTTTAAAGATCTTGACCTAAATAATTGCCTGTATTTTGCATAAAAATATTTTTTTTGCATTCTGCATCTAAACCCCGCCTCCTCTGTTCCGCCTTCTTCTCTCCAAAATACTTCCTTCTTGCTGGTTCCCGTACCGGGGGTACAGCTCCCTTTCAGTCCCTATTTCACAGCCTTCAGTAGCCAATAACGGAGGTTATCGCAAGTTACTTTATATATATGACATCAGTGAATAAACAAAAGCTGAGGATGTGAACAGACAGCTTTGATATGTGCTTATCATCCCTCCCCTGCACTTTAACCCTTTTATTGCTGGGCTAAACATGTCATATAATCCAGACTCAGTCGACTGGTATGAGAGGCTTATGATTGTGTTGAGATTACCTGGAAAGGGCTAAGCTTAAACAAAATTAGGAGATTTTAGAGTGTTTTTTTTTACTTTTATTATTTTGGATTGGTAGTTTTTGCATAGCTTACTGCATTATCTGTTATATTATTTATTTAAGAAATATTTTACCACGGAGGATGCTTTGAGTTTTCTCTTGTTTTCATGTATGTCCTTGGCCCACAAACATTCTATGTGAGATCCACGTTTCTACCTTTGTGAGCTGGTCAAACAGTGGTGGATTTGGTTTGCTAGCGTAGCTTAAAGTGTTGTCTGCGTAGATGTGTACAGTTGAGGCTTTGCATGACATTAGGCAGACCATTTATGAATAATGTGACAAGTAGGGGGCTGGCTTTGGAGCCTTTGAAATTAACACACATGACAGGGAAAGGGAGGAAGGTGCTATCAGAAATGGTCACATATTGCAATCGATCCGATTACCAATATCTGAGTTTTAAAATCTTTGCATCAGACTACCTTGGTCTACTGTGTCAAATGCCTTGGTAAAATTAAGGAAAATATCTCCAGTTAGGTCTCCTTGTTCCATATCAGCTTGGATGTCATTGAAAATTTGTGAGTGATTTGGACAGAAGCCTGATTGATCAGGGGTCAGATAGTTAGATTGTTGGGATAATACTCACATCGTTGCGTATGGACACGGTTTCTTAATTTTTGACAATACTGAGAGTAATGATATTGGACGGTAGTTAGATACCAAAGTATCATCACCACTTTTATGGATAGGAACTACTCTAGCAGTCTTCCAAAATTTGGGTATGTATCCAGACACCAATACGCATTAAATAAAGAACATCTAATTTCCTCTCCGGAGGATAGTGACTTGATAAGCTCTAAAATGACTTCAATAGAGAGATAATGTTTAGCAACCCACACAATTGCTTTAAAAAGAAACAGTTCTGTTTGGATTGACAATAATGGGAAATCATTTCAAATCACAAGGAGTGCTGGACATTATCTTTATATTGGATTCTATACTGTCCCTGAGTTTAGGTGGGTGTTCTCCCCTCCCTTGCTATTTACTAAAATTACTGCAAGCTCAGAAAATTCAAATTGTACTCAAATAAGAATTGATGTTGTTTTCATGAGAAAGTAATTTAAAAATGTAATTAATGGTAACATTTTAAGGGTTTAAAACAATAATTTAAGTTTTAAACTGTTTATAAAATATTGATTAATACAATGCACAGCAATGCCAAATGTAACATACAAAATGACACAATGGCCCTTAAAAAATGCACTCAGCACTTTATTCTATTGGTTTCCATGGTGATTGCATCATGTTTGTATCATTTTACAACTCAAGTAGTTTTTTTTATACTGCTTTTACTAAATCCCACGGTTTATGTGGCTTCAACTTCGTGTTCTTTTAAGTTATGTCGTTTGGAAGCTATACCCGGAAACCCTTTAGCTTATGTCAAAAAAAAGTGAAACATAATGAAAAACACAAACATTAACCTAAATACAAATAGTGAGGCGCTTATGTAAAAGGTAACAATTTACCTCGTATGACCTGATGTAACAGAGATGTGTCAAATCAGAAGTCTTTAAATATCATTGGTATACAAGTTCTAAAGGTACTAAAGAAACAATGTGCATAGTGTAAATCGTATATTATACTGGATATAACTTATAAAGTGATACAAAGCACTCACAAACGTGGAGCTATAAACCCAGCTCCGGTGTGGATGGCTGCGGGTCCGTTTGGGCGACTCCCCCCCTTTAACACTGGTTAGGTGGTCTTTCCTAGGGTTGGTGAAAAATAAAGCCACAGTAGCATAGCACTGTTATAGCATTTTAATAGAAAGTTGTAAGTAAAATTTATACTTACAAACCCAGAGCCCCTGTGGCTCTATAGTAGCATGCTTTGCAGTTTGGGACTGCCTTCATCATCTTTCCACTTCCTACATATGTCCTTAGGTCGGGATTCATCATTTTGCCAATTAGTCAGTCCTAACAGTTGTGTTGTTTCAGAGATAACTAACACTGCTGCTATGCAGAGTCCTGGATACATAGTTACAAAAAGATAACATTTCAAATTACAAAAATGAAATATAAAAATGTGCATTATATGAATGGCTAAGGGTATTTGACTAGCAAAATAACTTATGAAGGGGGTGTATTGCTAATTGTATGGATATGTATATTGATCATCACTTTCTAAAGCTATTTAGTTAAAATAAAAACACAGTATGTTAGGATTTTGTAATATTCTGGGCACACTGTCCAGAGTTCCAGAATTTTCCAAACAAAGAGCAGATGCCTTATCACATGACTCAGCAACTGTCTCTCGGCTAGCCTGTGCTCCAGGGTGGGCTAATGTCTTCTATTTTTGAGTAGCTCACATGTATGAAACGTGCATGTCACTTGGTAAGCCGGTTTTTGTATGAATATAATAGCTGGGGTGTTTTGAAGCTTTGCCAGAAGCCCTAACTGTGGGTGTACGCGCTACACAGTGATTTTCCTGACTAACCTGGGTTTCCAGTGGCAAGGCTGAAGTGGGGCTTCCCAGCCATGGTAGTTGCCTGGATGTATTTCTACAATAGATTAATCGGTGATGTATTGCTTTGTTCTTGTAAAAATCTTGTAATAAGAATAATTATACTATATTATCTTCATTAACTTGCAATGATAAATAGTATACTGTTTTGTCCTTAATAAATTCACTTTTATTATTTAACCCACTCAGTTGTTGACATATCCTGCATCCTTGAATCTTATGAATTAAAAGCAAGACAGGAATCTGGGGGATATTAATGTTTTTATTTTACATCAGGCAGTTGTATCTCAAAGCAGCTATCTATTATAAAAACAAGGATTAGTAGTGTAGGGCTCGCACAGGCTACTTATAAGGAGGTGTTGATGCCCCTCAGGTGACCATCAGGATGGTTTGTTGGGGATCAAAACTTTGCTGCTCACCACTCTACTAGTTAAACAGTACGGTATGATCTCATTGGAAGCGTAAAGCATGTGGTTGTTTCCAACTATGATTTCATTGGGATCGTGGAGACCATTAGCAGTTCGCTGTTTATGGGTAGAGAAGAAAGGACATAACATAGAAATGCACTAATATGTAGTGACATATCCCCAGCTCTCTGTAAGTGTAGGGGTCATTAAGTTTTCTTTTTCCAACTCTCTGTAAGCGTAGGGGTCATTGAGTTTTCTTTTCCCCCTGATACAAAGATTCTATAGTTGCTTTATGGAACAATAATTTGGTCCAAAATCCATCTAACTTACTACACACAACATTCTTGCAATTGTCAGAGAGTATTAAACATAATCCCTCATTTGTTTCTACCATTTAAGCTTGGAAACCTACAAGATGCCAATGTAACCTTCACTGGTAATCTGATTCATTTCAAATGGTTACTTCCACAATAATCTCCTCGCCCAATCCTGGCACACGTGCTCCATACCTCTGTTGCAGCTACAGAAAAAGTTCCCTTCATTTCAATTTCCTCTTTTCACTTATTGGCAAATTTTAAAATATATAAACACGACTTTAACTCAGCTACAAGACACTGGCTGTACTCACTCATTAGACTTCATTATTTTGCTCACTATTCTATCTAACTTACTCTACAGTTGTATTCAAACAGTACTGGATCATTCTATTCCAACCAGTCTAACACACAAATGGGCAATATAACTCCCCTCCCTCTGGTCCGAGTCTGATCACATTCTCACAACAACGAACAAATTACTTCCAGATTCCCAGGAACAAGAGACGCACAGGCGGATAGCACTGTATCAAAAAGATATAAAATGAAAACTGTAAAAAGCTATTTCAATAAATATGTAAATTTGTGTTAAAAAAAATGTGCATGCAAGAACTTAGCTGCGTATACACTCCTTGTGACCCTCCTGACACAACAAAAGATATAAAAATTATAAATAGCAAGTGAAGCGCTTATGTAAACCATGCAACATATACAAAGTTGCGATTAAATAATATTTAAGGTGATGACAGTGTAAATAGTGCCCCATATCTAATACAGCAAATCACAGCAATTTGTGTTATCCCTTAAAAAAAAATGTAAAAGCCAGTGTGAAATAACTACTGTAGTGTAATACATATAACAATGAAATTATCCCAAGAAAGATGTGTGTAAAACGCAAACTAAATGCACACAATATGACCAGTTGTTTTTATTCCTTCAAGTCAACAACAAACTTTTGACCTCAAAGGCAAAAATAGAAAAACATAAAATAGTGCAGACAGACCAATAATACAACCAAGATGTGTAATAAAGCTGTAAAGCTCTAGAGGAAATAGCCACACTCTGGCTCTGGAATATAAGCAGTGGAGTCTAAAATAGGTGACCCCCCACCCCCCGAGATTTTTTATATACAGGTATGTTGTCCCCCTTGAATAACCTTGAATGTATTTCAGCTTCAGTTGCATTGATTTAACAAAACATTTGTAGTCATCATGTATATATAAATATATTTATTTTTACATATCTTTATCTTATAAGAACTATTAACATGCATCTGTGCGTATGTAAGAGTCTGTAAAGGTGTGAGCTTGCACCATTTGTATTATATAAGAGAATAAAATTAAACTTCTGGATTGAAATATCCTTCTTTGCCACCTTGGACAATGCATTACTGGAGCAATGCAGTATGTAGATCAGGAAGGTCATAGTCTAACAATAACTCATAGTTACATTGTTAAATAGTAATACAGGCTGGAAAATGCACAAGTCCATCATGTTCAGCCTTTCACAAATCTATATTGCTGCTGCTGCTGATCCAAAAGAAAGTGAAAAGCCAATGTCAAGCAATTTCCAATTTTGTCACAAATTGGAAAGAAATTCCATCTTGACTTCAAAATGGAAGTCAGATTTCTCACTGGATCAACAAACTGTTACGCCATATATATCTATTATATCCCTGACTCTCTATGAAATCACTTCTTGCCTGTCACATTGACCATCGTCACTGGTCTGCTCTAACCTCTGATCAGAAGACTTGGAGACACACCATTCATCAGGCTGTCTTCTCCATCGAGAACACACACAGGACAGATATTTAGAATAAAAAGAAACAGAGGAAGGACTTTGACATTCTGGCATCAAAGTCAGACCATATTTTCCTTTGCAGCAGCTGCGGCCGTATCTGCCTTTCCCACATTCGCCACCAGCGTGTCTGCAGCAGACACGGACAACCCACTTGCTTTGTTTATGAAGTCAAGCCAAACACTATTCCTAAATATTTTATGGGTTTTTTTCTAGAAAAGCTTACAGATATGTTTTAATAGTATGAAGAGAATCTGATAAAACAACATATGTAGGGGGAGAATTCTAAACCCTTTCCTCTGCAGTACCTGAAATCTCATTTTTAAAAGTCTAAATGGGTGACCTTTGTCCTTTATCCTTTTTACATTTCTATTAATATCCTGGCTGCAGCATTCTGTGCCCAATCGAAATAGTATAATTCTGCTTTGCAGTTCAAGAGACAAATATATCCTGTTCAAAGATTAAAAAAAAAAAAAATAATAATCTAGAAATAAGATGTTTTCTTTTCCTTTCTGCATTGTTTAGGTGATGTTTTAGGATGACCACCATGATTTTGCATGCTTTATAATTTTACTACTCCAAGAACAAATTATTACTGTGTTTTACATATCCCAAAAATGTGTGTTACAGAGTACCTCTTTCTCTCCATACTTTACCTTTCATCAGCTGACCTCCATCAGCTCTTGGACTTTATCTAGACAACTACAGGGAACAAATTACTCTTTGATGTCTGGAACAAAGGACAAGTATACTCTTATGAAAGTAATTTAAATTATCTGACTAAATTCACATTTTTGAACTGAAAAGTATTTTACATAGATCTGATAGAGGTAATATGTTGACACTATATAAATGGCAATAACAATAGTCATTCAATATATATATAATATAAAACATATCAATATATTAAAAAAGGATAAGCTTAATGGATCTATACTCTGAATACTCACATTAATTTTAAATAAATTTAGTTGAAAAACAACTCATATGTTTGATCAAGACATGTTTATTTATCTATTTTGTTGACTATACTACACCATATTGGTCTCTTTTTCTTTACCGGAGGTTACATCTCTATGAAAGAGTGCTGTGATGCTGCCCTAAAAGCATAACGGCCCGATATACAGAGCCAATATATATAGGCTCCATTACATGTGAGTGGCCTGATTTTATACAATTTAAACATTGGGATATTATTACCATCTGCACTATATTTGTATTCTCTCTTTTGTTTTTCATGCACTGTGCTATGTTCTGTATATACCTGTTGTAACAGGGGTAAGTCTTTCCCCTTATTTTTGCACTTTAGCGCTATCAGGCCCATGACTACTGCCAGTAAAATAAATCCCTCTCATAGCTCAATTATACAATTGGAAACAACCCCTACTATGGGTGGTAATGATTTTGATTCAGAAAACACATTTGAGCAAGGTGTCCCCAAGTCCCCTGGTAACTATGTAGTCCTCATTTGTGGTCTCCCTAGTCACAAGTCTTTTTTCTTGTGTGGCTATTTGTAGCCTCAATTTAATGTTTGTGGATATGTTTCTCAAATGATTTAATATTTTTTCAAATATATATCAATATTTCGAAATATTAAAATATTTCTCAAAATACTGCATTATTTTAAAAGTTTATTCAAAAGCATTAAATATAGTCTTATGTATAAAGCAAGGATATTCAACTTATATTATCTCAGAGGTGACAGTGACATCACTTGAATGTCATTCCATGCCACAGGCATGGCTTTTATTTGGTCTCTTAATTACAGTGATATCTATTCTTGCTTTTGAAAAGGAACTATGATGGGAGATTTTAAGAATATTACATTTTCAGTGAGATACCAATAAAGAGAGCAATCTGTGTAAAAACCCTTTAGACATTTTACATTGAAACTACTGAAGAACAAAACAGGTCTCCTATGGAGAATTGCTTTCTAGATATTTATATTGTGAATACAACCTTTCATATACACAGCATTTGAACTCAACAGACATTATCAGCAGACTTAAGAAAAGAGATAGAATAGTACTTGCCATGCTGCTATTTTGTAAATGCATTAATAACATCTAGATATTGAACAAATATCTGCTAAAACAACAAAAAACACTCTTATGAGTAGAAACGCATGTGAATATGTGTGGATGGATAAACATACAGGTAAAGATTAAGACAGACAGACAGACATAGCAAGAGAGTTGGGAATAATGACAGACAGGCAGACAAAGAATGACAGTCAGAGAAATTTATGTCTAAATCAATAGAAGTTCTATATGAAAAAAGTAGAATTCCACCAGAATTGAAGTCAATCTATAGATGTATACAGAAGGCAAAACAATAAAAATTTAATAGAATTTCAATATTATGGCTAGTTAGATAGATTGTAAGCTCATTTGAACAGGGTCTTCTACACCTCTTCCAACTTCTATAATTGTAAAATGCTGAGGAATGTGTTGGCACTATATGAATACTGAAAACATATATTGCAGCATGTGAATGCTTATCAGGAAGTCTCTGAAATCCAAGCGACGCAGTTATCTATCCAGATGTATTTTAACAGAGACCAGTTATTCCCTGTAGGATTAAATATTTCTGATTTATAAGGTGACATCAATACATATTTTCAGTTATCAGATCAATATAGCAATATAAGCTTTCATAGCTTGTAAAATATTTGATTCTTGAAATGTTTTCCACCTCTGTTTAGATCAATGTTTCATCACCTGATGTTTTTGGTGGCATATTTTAGTTACCTATGCATCTCAGGTTATTTACTGGACTTAATGTATTCCATCCAGAACACATGGAGTGAAACTAGCTAATCCTCCCTGGAGTAGCTAGCATTCTAAAGCCAGGTTTGGGGTTTTCCAAGTGTTAGTTTATCCCATGGGAGTGTTAGTCCTTGATTTATTCCTGGGGGGATAAGTTAGTTATGCTTCATGTATTCCAGGAGGAATGTGTAAGTCCTTCACTATCTATTCCAGAACAGAATGTGTTAGTCCTCCTCTATTTGTTTCAGAACAGAATGTGTTAGTCCTTCTCTAGCTATTTCAGGAGAAATGTGTTAGTCCTTCTCTATCTTTTGCAGGTGGAAAGTGTTAGTCCTTTTCTATCTATTCCAGGTGGAAAGTGTTAGTCCTTCTCTATCTATTCCAGATGGAAAGTGTTAGTTCTTCTCTATCTCTTCCAGGCAGAAAATATCAGTCCTTCTCAATCTATTCCAGGTTGAAAGTGTTAGTCCTTCTCAATCTATCTCAGGTGGAAAGTGTTAGTTCTTCTCTATCTATTCCAGGTGGAAAGTGTTAGTCCTTCTCTACCTATTCCAGGAGTAATGTGTAAGTCCTTCTCTATCTTTTCCAGGTGAAAGTGTTAGTACTTCTTTATCTCTTCCAGGCGGAAAGTTTTAGTCCTTCTCTATTTATTCCAGTGGAAAGTGTTAGTCTCCTCTATCTTTTCCAGGTGGAAAGTGTTAGTTCGTCTCTATCTATTCCAGGAAGAAATGTGTTAGTTCTTCTCTAGCTATTCCAGGTGGAAAGTGTTAGTCCTTCTCTATCTATTCCAGGAGGAATGTGTAAGTCCTTCTCTATCTTTTCCAGGTGGAAAGTGTTAGTCCTTCTCTATCTATTCCCAGTGTAAAGTGTTAGTTCTTCTCTATCTATTGCTGGTGGAAAATATTAGTCATTCTCTATCTTTTCCAGGTGGAAAGTGTTAGTTCTTCTTTATCTGTTTGAGGAAGAGTGTGTTAGTTCTTCTCCATCTATTCCCGGTGGAAAGTGTCTGTCCTACTCTATCTATTCCCAGTGAAAAGTGTTAGTCCTTCTCTATCTTTTCCAGGTGGAAAGTGTTAGTCCTTCTCTATCTTCTCCAGGTGGAAAGTGTAAGTCCTTCTCTGTATTTTCCAGGTGGAAAGTGTTAGTCCTTCTCTATCTATTTCCAGTGGAAACTGTCAGTCTTTCTCTATCTTTTCCAGGTGGAAAGTTTTAGTCCTTCTCTATCTTTTCCAGGTGGAAAGTGTTAGTTCTTCTCTATCTATTCCAGGAAGAAATGTGTTAGTCCTTCTCTATCTATTCCCGGTGGAAAGTGTTAGTTCTTCTCTATGTATTGCATGTGGAAATTGTAAGTCCTTCTCTATCTATTCCAGGTGCAAAGTGTTAGTCCTTCTCTATCTTTTCCAGGTGAAAAGTGTTAGTTCTTCTCTATCTATTCTAGGAAGAATGTGTTAGTTCTTCTCTATCTATTCCAGGTGGAAAGTGTTAGTCTAGCTCTGCCTATTCTTGGTGCTTTATAGACTGATTATTCTACATGTATTAACACTTAAATATAATGTTTACCATATTATATATTAATATTGTCTGAGAAAAGAAATGTCAGATGAGCAGTTATTTTTTTTATTAGTTTCAAACAACCCTTGTCAAACTGTCAGTATATTGAGTGCTTTCCACTGAAATGTCAGTATATTGAGTTCTATAAAATACATGGATAAAACTGACAAGTGGCAAGATTCATCCAACTCTGATCCCATTTATAAATGATCTTATCTTTATAACTCTTTATTTTAATATGTTTTTTTTAACCTATATATTACCAAAATGTAAGTATTTCTCTAATTTGTTTTATTGTATACTTTCACATTATGCTTTTATGTAACTCAAATGGTTCACCACCCCATATATGCCATGTAACATACAGTTAACACACACACACACACACATAATTTTGTACTGACATGCTCATTCAAGGTAATCCAATTCTGGATAAAACTCATGTTGCCAACGCAGATATTACACTTTCAAAAACACAGAACCAGATGACTGTAGCAGTGGCCTGCAAGTACCATAACCGCTAAAATGGGGTGTAATTGTTGTGATGATTAGAGTATCCTTAAACATTGTAATGGAACTTAATATGTTGGGGCAAATAATGCAACCAAATAAATAGATTTTTTGATTTATTTATCACTGATGCCTGACTTTTCTGACACAGCCAATGCATACTATAAAAATGAATAATTATTTGCTAACATGTCGCACGGTGCTGTTGGGAACTACAGAATGCGGAATGTAAGCACAATACTAATACTACTTATCCAACATTAATAGAGTCAAAATAGTATGAATTAATTCACATTAAAAGAGATTTAATTATTAATGGTTAACTACTAGTAAATTCAACATTTTTCCACCCTATGTTTCCTTCTTAATCAGAAGATCATCGATTTACAGAGAATCATAGCTTTTTTCATTTAGTGATGTATATGTAAATCTTATTGTTTTGCAGTGATTTCATAAACATTTTTATTGTAGCAATCCATGGAATTCATTATTCTTTATTCATCTTTGGTGCACAGATTATTACGTTCTTCCTCTATAGAAGGTAAGCAAGCTGAAAAAATGTAAAGTAGAGTTGATCGGACACCTGGATGTTCAGGTCCGGCGGGTTCGGCCGAACTTTGAAAAAAAGTCCAGGTTCGGGATCAAACTTGACCCCGAACCTGAACCCCATTGAAGTCAATGGGGACCCGAACTTTTGACCACAAAAATGCCTCTAAAAAACTCCTTGAAAGAGCTAGAGAGCTGCAAAAGCAAGTAAAATGGGGGTAAGAGTAGGACAAGTGCCCTGCAAACAAATGTAGATATGGAAATCACTTAAAATAACATAAAAATTAAAAATGCAGCTGAGCCATAAAATAGCACTAGATGGAATCTTTGATTTTAGCTTTGGAAGAACATAAATCAAAATCTAAAGCATGGCTGTCAGGAGGATCAACAGAATTATCCATTTGAGAGAGGGTTGGAGTGCAGGGTATTCTCTTTCATTGTTCAAACTGAGCTCAACTCCTGATGCATGGAGAAAAGGCCTTCACAAACCTCTGCTATTGTGTACATAGTTTATACTAAGTGACCCATAGGTTGAGGAGGCGGTGACCGTGGCGGTGTAGGTGGAAGCAGCGGTGGAGGAGGAGGATGAGGTAGCCAACACTGTTTATGGTTTTTTTTAATTGTGGTAGCCCACAAAATATTGGGACATACAAAAAAAGAAACATTTGCAGCCTGCGGTGCATTTCTTGCAGTCCTGATGCATGGA